GAAAAAAGTGTAAAACGGCCATTTTGTTGTACTGTTTCCATACTGCAGGTGTACTTCACATATTTATGCTATATAACCTGTTGGGCCCTGGAATATCATTTTATAGAAAATCTAAAATTATTGTTAAAAGAAAACCAAATTATGAAATAGGCTGGTTTCATAATTGACCAATGATCATTTCACATAGACTCTATGCCTTCCACTTTACAAACGATGATTTTTCGTTATAACTATAAATCAAATGATGTTTTTATTCACCTAATTCATTTTAAAGTTTATTTAACAGTTAAAAAATTCGAAATTGAAATGGATAGTCTAGGGAACATACTGTATTAATGTACTCTACTGCATATAATTTGTGAACATTTACATGATTTGTACACTTTGAACCCTCTTTCAGGCTGAAAAGGACTGAAAAAATTCATACCGAGATATTCTTTTAATTCCTCTCTATATATTCTATTCTCAAGCAAGCAACAAGCAACAAGCAACAAGCAACAAGCAACAAGCAACTAGCAACTAGCAACCAGCAACAAGTAACAAGTAACAAGTCAGATGGATCCTGAGCAGAGCACAGCTTGAAAGAAGGAAAAGCGACCTTGAGGCAACAAATGAAAAAATTTAAAATGTGAAAATCACCTGATAGAACGATGAATTGTCTTTGTACGCTGTCCTGGTCACAACAAACTTAGTATTAGGAACCTCCTCGAAATCATCTCCTTTATCCAAGATTTCCTAAAATATGAATCGATCATTAATCCAGTACAGAGCGTCCATACCATATTAGATTATCTCCAAGCTTTAACGCCAAAACAAACACATAATACTCGGAAAACCAAACATTTTCCCCAATAATATTTTTTTATTTATAGACTAATTCAATTTTTCAAAATGATTCAATCTTCTTAATTTTTCTGATTAGTCCTGAAAACCGTAATTTAGACCCATTGACGATCTAACATGATGTGAAACACCCTGTATAGCAGGGGTTTTTATAATTCCCAGAAGAGGAAGGGGGGGAACAAATATCTTGAGTCCCTCTAATAATTTTCCACTTTAAACAATCACATATTTCCCCCGCAAAATAATTAATTTCCAAGTCACAAGGCAGCTCGAAAAAATACTTATTTAATGAAATAGCCAAGGACTGAATTTTAAAATGTGTAAAATTTTGGCCACAGTCCTCAAAATCAAATTGTAAAACATTTTAGGACCGACTGCTCCTGCCTGCGGTATCAACCTTTTCTTCAATGATTTTCTAACAGAAGCTAGAGAAAAAAGCCCCCCTAAATAAATTAATTAAGAAAAACGGTAGTATTCACACACAAAAAAGCTATAAACAAGTCAAATAATAACCCCCCTCCCCCCCCCCCGGTTAATTTCCTACCTGAAAATGTACGGATACGGTACAGCTCTGTACATTAGGATGGGTATCTGAGTTATGAATGAGTACAGACAACTTCTTAGATCGAATCTTCTGTGCTCTGCAGAATAAAAATGAAAATATGAATGCAAAACATTTTTCAAAAAAAAAAATTGACAATTGATTTACACGATATGTACCTGTATCCGAAAACGAAGAGCATTGAATCAATGACGTTACTCTTCCCGCTCCCGTTGGGTCCAACGATAGATGTGAAACTCTTGTGAAAGGGCCCAAGTACCTGGTTGCCAGCATACGATTTAAAGAAATCATTCTCTATGTGAGTGATTATCAATCTAAATAGATCAAATCAAAATCCTAATTGTCGGAAATTTAAAATAAAAATTATCAACTTTTGTTAAATACGACAGCAATTTGTGAAGAGCAAACTTGTTACTTCAGGAAATGGGCAACAAATTGATAGTTGAAGGTTACTAGCTCAAACTTGTATGCTTTAAGATAAAAAGTAAACAAAATTAAACAGGGGAGGTGTGAATATCTTCTGAATAAATCGACTCCAACAAACGGAATTATTGATAGCGAATGAAGGGGCGAAGGAGTCTCATAAATGAAATTAATTAATTTGAGTTTATCTTATTTCAATTGTTTTCAATTCCGTTAAATTTTTCTATGTCTCATTTTATTTACTTACTGAGAGTAAAATACCAATTACCAAAAGTGTGCGTGAATGTCAAAATTATGGTAAAGGTAGGCTTTATTGAGTAAAGTGCTTTGAATATGCCTTATTAGCTTACAAGCTTACAGGGGGTGTGTATAAGTATTTTGCCCCGCCATATTATTGTCACAAATCCGCAACTTAAAAACAGGTGCATTTTACAGGTTTCTGCAACGGGGGGAGAGCCCACTTGTAGAGAAAATTTTTGGATTTAGTAGTATAATGGAGCGTTTTGGTGCCCTAAAAAAGTCCCACCTGAGAATTTTTAAAGCTGTTTTGATACTGTTTTTTTAGTGTGGTTTTCTCCTTCCCTCTTCCCACTTTTCCCTTCCCTCCCCCTTTACCCTTCCCTTCCCCCTTTTTTCCTTTACCCTTCTCCCTTCCCTCATTTTTCTTTTTTCTACGTTTTTTCCCCAAACCCAAGGAAAGCTCATATTTTTTGCAATTCTTTACTCAGAGAGCTCAGCATTACAGTGGAAGGCGATTATACCAATACGATCAAGATGACTTTTTATCTTAGTTTTGATTGTTAACAAGCTTCTTTCGCATTACAAGTTTACAAGTACTTAAAGAGAAGATTTTTTTAATTGACAGCTTCTCTTGACTCCTATAATTATGTGTATGCATGCTGCTTCACAGCTTTCAATTTAAACCAAAATTGAAATTGAAAGTCGTCTTCTTAGTATTGATATAATTGCCTACCACCCTATCGTAACTAATTATTTCTCTTTCGTGTTTTTATACGCAACATTTTAGCATGTTCTTCTCCAAAACTTTCGCGAATTTTACGCATTTATTATTTTATGTGCTACCTCAAACTTGTGGCAGATTTTCAGTTTAATTATAATCTGTGGCAAATTTTATGCATTCAGCTATTTCTGAGCTTTAATGGCATAATTTGTTTGTGGCATTTTTTGACCCTGTATTTGGGGGGAAAAATCTGGATGTAAAACGTGTATAATAGGTGTACAATGTGCACTCAACTGATCCTAGATGAAACCCTGGAGTGGTCATTTACAAAATTGATTGGAGGGGGTCCAAACATCGTTCTCTAACCCCAATAAATGGTGATTAAACATGAAGGAAACTCAAACCTTGGTCCTGTAGAATCAAATGTACAGGCCGGGGCGGGTGGGGGAGGTATATAAATGTCTCCGATTCTTATTCCTCCTTCAGGAATATATTGCTCCTCAACATCCTCCATTACCTCGTCTTCTGCCATTATTTGGTCTTCAACACAATATCAAATAAAAAAACATTTTCTTCAACACGATTAAATAAAACTAACATATCATCAGTTTTTTCTTCAATATTAGGTCTCCCTTCAAAGTAGAAGCAAAATAGTTTGTTTTCAAAAGTTTTTTAATAAAAATGTGAATACTGGACAGCTTTTAACGTCAATGATTCCGACCTCAGGAACTGAAAACGTTAAATTTAATTGTAACCAAACGTCTCCGACAGATTTTCGTTGTATTCGAAGTAGAAATGAATGCCCCGTTCATAATTCGTGTTTTGGCGCCAACAAAATTATCTTGGAATTGTGTCGTCTTCATATTCAAATTTTTATTTTTCATTGTCCCCCCCCCCCAGCGTACAATTTCCAATAAAAGTGGCTTTCGTCCCCCTAGTTGCAATTGTTATCTTGTTAAAGCATTTTTGTTCAATTTAAAAATTTTAAATGCTCGACCATTTCTTGACAATCAAACCAAAAAAATATCTTTTGTTTTGATGCGATTGGTAAAAAGAGGGTTTTTAAAGAAAATTAATTCTCAAAGACTTTAAATATTTTAAAAATGTTGATAGAGATTAAAGCCATCTTCTTTTAAAATGTAAAAAAATTGTTCTACAAAATGTTTTCACCCCCTGAGCAGCACAGGCCGTCTGACGCAGATAAAAAACAGCTGTTAAAATATATACAACTCTCAGACTCTCAGTCTGAGTCCTCACTCCTCAGATAGTTTAGATGCAACGGTTGAGCAGAAAGGATAACTGAGCAAACCCGTGAGTTTGACAATTCATTTTTTTTGTTACAAAAATGGCTTGAAAATAGAATTGTGCACTTTTTAAGAAATAATTTGATCATGTGCTAATTTTTCATCAGATTATAAACAATGTCATGAAAATAACATTGCATTCGAGGTTTTGTCCCTGCATGGTTCAGTGAAAGGAGTGAAAGTGTTATAAAACGTATTGAAGAGGAAGCGCCAAGGCTAAAACTGATCAAGAAGAGAAACGCAACTTATTCAAAATGACGACGATAACCCTTGAAGAAATGTTTATTGCAGGCAAAATACAAATACGGAATTCTAAGACAGATTGAATTGAATATACTATTATGTCAAATATATTGACACCGCCCCCCCCCCATCTTTTAAAATTTGAAGCTCTTCAAAATTATTTTATTTTAAAATGTCTGAAATTTCATTTATTTTCCGAAGAAGTAATCATTTGATTTCTCGGTAATTTCCTAGAGAGCGATTTTTGGACCCCAGCCCTCTCCGGCCCCCCCCCCCATCAATTTTGTACATGGATCTTAAATGTAGAGGATCTTAAATGTAAGACATGTTGCCGCAGCGCTCGGCCCCCTAGCCTGTCCTAGACGCAGCTCTCGGCCCTGAAAATGTCTTAACTTAACCTAACCCGTGGCTGCAGCTCTCGGCCCAGAAAGTGTCTTAACCTAACCTAACCCTAAATAACAAAAAAATAAATAATGATAAATTTGCTGAAAAATAAGTGGTCATGTACAAAATTGATAGGAGGGGGGGGGGGGTCCAAAAATCGTTCCCTAGGACAGACCCGATTTCTCCAATTTGCAAATTAATATCCTGAAGAAATTTATTATCAATTCTGAATTGTTTTTGTGCTCCAGCATGTAAGGAAGGAGATATTGAATCAGTGAGAATGTCTCTCAGCCTAAATGTGAATGTAAACTGCTACCAGGGTTGGGGACTACGGCGGGCTATCAGGTTTTAACTTTTAACTTATTTTCAAATTCAAAATGTCAATCACGAAAATTATCATTAAATACTAGCTGGATGGACCGACTTTGTCCGTGGAAAAATTTCGAATTTTATTTCGCCTTTAACACCCTCGGCCACCCATAAGTATCCACAAAAAAATTTCAGCCCAATCGGTCCAGCCGTTTGGCCGGCTATACGCAACATATATATGAGTGTCTTGTTTTATTATGTAGATTGTAAATTTAGTCTTACTGGGCTTCATTCTGTATAGGGTTCCGATCCAGTAGGTTTACAAAAAATGGGTCACACCATATCAGTCCAAAATAGTTTTGTTTTTATATCTGGATCCGGTGTGACGTTAAACAACGTCCGGGGTTAAAATAGTATGCCACTTCTTAATAATTTTGAAACTCTATTATGATATTAATATTAATACTAATTAGTACTAATATTAATTTATGTAAGCAACACTTGTTCAACTTTAACATATTGTTAAATAAGATTTTATAGATGTGGTTAAACTAGCAACAAATGTTTAAAACAATATTACGTTTCTTAGAATTTTTTTCTTTCTTACGAAGAATTTAAACATAGATATTTCAACTTCTAAATTAAATAAGTTGTAACATGTAGTAATAACATGTTAATTTATTTAAATCAATAATTAATGGAAACCCTTCAGGAAGAATTTTAATTCTATTTAATTTTATTCTATATCAGTTCAATAAAAACACATTTTTTCCAATTTTTTGAAAATTGATTTGATGATTCGCCATATTAAATCCCACAGAACTTTTTAAGCTAATATTTATTTTTATTTCTAGATACAACCATCCTCAAATTTGGGACAGTCTTCTTCTTCATAGGTAAATTATAATATTGTCAGGTATCTTAAGATATTAAGTAAATTCTGAATTCATGTATATAGGCAGAAAAGATCTTTGTTCTTTTTAAATACACAACACATATACTAAGATTTTATTGAAATTATATTATATATTCGACACCTATGTATTTATGAATCCTCTATTGTAATCCTGTATCCAAGTATAATTGTTTCGTGTTATCCATTTATTCTTATATCCTTGTATTTATATTTCTATGTACATCTAGATCTATTGGTATGAATGAGAAGAATGTATGTGACAATGGTGGATTAATGTATTCATGAAGTATATTCTACAATGATGTGCAATTCTATATTCGTTATCTATGCTAGTAATATCAGTATCTTAATTATTTGTATATTGACCCAGCCGGGCTAGCCCGGTCAGTTTCATTTTTACCTGTTTATAAATAAAGTAGTTGAATAGCATTCGTTGATTAATACGGACGTATACAGAGCCTTGAGTATTGGCTAGAGATAGAGAGCCTTGAGTTTTGGCAAGAGATATAGTTAAATATGATCTCATTAGACTTTGAGTAGAGTTATCGTTAAAGCAGTAGCATCTAGATTTGTTACATTCATGTATATATATCATGTATATCTAGATATATTGGCATGAATGAGAAGAATGTATATGACAATGGTGGATTAATGTATTCATGTATCCATGTATGTATATCTAGATATATTGATGTGATTGAGAAGAATGTTTATGACAATTGTGGATTAATGTATTCATGTATCCATGTATGTATATCTAGATATTTTGATGTGAATGAGAAGAATGTATATGACAATGGTGGATTAATGTATTCATGTATCCATGTATGTATATCTAGATATATTGATGTGAATGAGAAGAATGTATATGTTATGGCTGGTATTGATGTAACTATGTATGTATATCTATATATATTGTTGTAAATGAGAAGAATTATATTGTATGGCTGGTATCTATTTATCCACGTATGTATATTGTATATCTAGGTATATTGATGTGAATGAGAAGAATGTGTATTGTATGGCTGGTATCCATGTATCCATGTATGTATATCTAGATATATTGATGTAAATGAGAAGAATGTATATTGTATTAACGAGTACTAGACGTTATTAGGAAGAGGAAAGTAGATCGTTAATTACATTCTTATTTGTATTTTATTTTATTTTTATTCTTAATTTTATTTGTAATTTTATTGTAATTTTAAGTCTTGATTCTTAATAATTAATATTTGGGAATAATGGGTATTTTAATTCGGGTGAATTGAACGTAAATTCCTTGTATGGTTAAGGTTGGTGAATTAGATACTAAATTACTAATTAGTAATTTTAATAATTAACGAGTACGAGAAGTTATTAAGAACAGGAAGTGGATCGTTAATTACATTTTTATTGTAATTTTATTTTTAATTTTAATTTTAGTTGTATTTTTATTGCAATTTTAAGTCTTGATTCATAATAATTAATGTTTGGGGGTAATGGGTAATTAAATTCGGGTTAATTGAGAGTGGAACGGAAATTCCTTTTATGGTTAAGGTTGGTTAATTATACACTAATATTTGGGATTAATAGTTGATTAAAGGATAGGTGCTTGAGTTGGTCACTGATAAAGTACAGACAATATTTTTATTTTTTAGTAAATAGTCTTTGAATAAGTACAGCATTTAAATTGGAAACATTTTATATTAACTATGCCATGGTTTTAAACTGAATAAGTATTTTTGTCCTTTTAATTTTATTTTATTTTTATTAAATAATCTTTGAATAGGTACAGCATTTAATTTGGAAGCATTATCTAATAACCTAAATAATTATTTTGTCAATTTTATTTATTTTTAGTAAGTAATCTTTGAATAGGTACAGCATTTATTTTGGAAGCATTATCTATAAAGCTGAATAATTATTATGTCTACTTTTATTTTATTTTATTTTTAGTAAATAATCCTTGAATAGGTACAGCATTTAATTTGGAAGCATTATCAATTAACTATGCCGTGGTCCTAAACTGAATAATTATTTCGTCAATTTTTGAGCTTGAGGAGATAAACTTAGTAATAAAGACTAATAACTTGTACATTTGTTAACCTTAAGCATGCAATAAATGAATTGTGATATTTTGTCCCGCTTTTTTCTGGTGAAGAATACAAAGGCACAGGAATTATATAGTGAAACGAAGACGGAGGAACGTATGGGGTAATATGCTCAACAGTTATGTACAGCATTAATCTCTGGCTAGGTTTATAGCCATTGATACATTAACATATGGCTTAATATGTTAGCATGAGAAGATTGAAATAGCTCATGATGTTAGCATACGGTTTAGTATGTGAGTCATCAACAACAACTTATGGCTTAGTCTGTTAGCAGGTAGCTCAATATGGTAGCAAGAGAAGATTGAAATAGCTCATGATGGTAGCATACGGTTTAGTATGTGAGTCATCAACAACAACTCATGACATACGACCTAGTATGTTAACGATGAACGAAATGCGAAGAGTACATATCATGACCTAAAGGATATAAAACAAACGAAGCAGTATAAGGGATAACTGAGTGTCAAACAGTAAGACGCGCCTTTTAGAACCCAGCTGTTAAGGACGTAGGTCAGACCTAAATAAAATGTCACAACTTACTCTTAGGATTGTTTTCGTGTTTATTTGTCACAACTTACTCTTAGGATTGTTTTCGTGTTTATTTGGTGAGCAGACAACTAAACATCACCATATGAAACCTTGGTGTTTAAAATTATCAATTTGCGATATGAGACTGAGCTACATGCAATGTTCAAATGTAAGTCTTTCTAACTAGAACCTAACTATATAAAAAGGACTCGCGTCACTTCCGGAACAGTTTACAATAACGGAATCCAATGGAGGGGGAGGCTATTGTTGTTCCTCGGAAGCTAGGGTAATAACCATGGTTGCATACTTCGTGCTAGTTATCAAAAAGTCGGATAAGTCTATCGCGGCCATGTTCTGGATTATAGGCCAGACTACGTGTTACACACTACTGAAAACGATAGTGGAGAAGTCGAACTTAATTTTCCTGGCGAAGAAAACAGCGACGGACTTGAATACTTTTAAGCAAGACGCTGCTCAAATGCTGATGGCGCAGAAATCGGATACGTCTAATCTCGAGTTACCCAAGAAACACAAAGAAGTTTGTGAGGCAGTACATGACCTAGTTGAGCGAGGTTTAGTGCAGGAGGCCCTAATGGGAGCACAACTCAAACGAAGACTAGCGGAGCTCAAGGGCGAGGAGGAAGCGCTGGTGGAGAGTGGTCGTCGGCCAACACCGGCAAGGTATATATATATAGATATGCGCTTAATTACCATGTTTCGTACTCAGTCGAACAATGAGATCAATGGTTTAGTTGATCTCGATATAGTAAACAAGGGATCAATGGTTTAGTTGATCCCTTTGAGCTCTTTCCAGAAGTAACTAGTAAATAGGTCAATTGATATAGGCTTTACCGGGGAAAAGATTAGTGGTCATGGTTAAATTGTTTCTTAATAATATAACAAATCTATAGTCTGACTATCCAGGTTGAACCTGCTCAGATCATTGGCCTCACAGACTGAGGAGGGACAGGACGAGCGTAAGGAGGAGTCGGAGGACGAGCTTATGGATTTTGAACAGGAATTACTCGACATGGACGACTCTGCGAAGGAAGACGATACTCCGGCTCTTATCCCTCCTCCTACAGAGATACGGGTAAACTCTGAACATCTAGTAGACAGAGTATCCGATGTAGTAGTACTAAAGATGAAGCGTGAGCTCTGTAGGCAGGCCCAGGCCAGCGAGGCTCTTCTCTCAAGAATGGAGCAGAAACTGGACATGTTGCTCCAGCAGGAACCTCCCACCCGCAGTGAATCAACATCTAAAAGTAAGGAATCTTAATTTTGTTATTATTGCAGGGAGGAGGGACACCTTGCCAACAAATGTATAGTTAGGGTCAAGTGCAAAGGATGTGGAGGGGACAGACATTCTTATGACAGATGTGAGGACAAATTATCTACTTGTACAAAATGTGACCTGTTAGGTCACTCCATTGCTGTTCATGAGACAAAAGATCCGGTGCTCCGTAAGGCACTGTACGATGCTCATCCTGATGAGTTTTCTCACTTTTTCTTAGTTGAGGAGAGAGCCGAGCCAGCCCAGAACCGGCTGCACCGGGGAACGGCAAAAAGAAGGAACAGCTGGGAGGACGGCAGCATGCAAAGGGAACACAACAGCAAAAGTAGAAGCAGGAATAGAGAGCCGAAAAACAAATACCCGAGGTCTGACTTAGGGAAGGGTAGAGGGTCTAGGCGCTCTGTTTAAGTATCACGAATAAACACGAAGATCAAGAGCGTGATATACTCCGATCCCCCCTAGGTGAACCACAGTGGTTATTTTACAACACTCGTTCTTTGTGGTCGTCCCCTAGTCGGACTTTGCTCATTCAATAAGAAACACGAAATAACCTAAGTGAACCATATCGTTTGTTTACAGTACTCTTTCTTTGTGGCTGTCCTCTAGTCGGACTCCACTCAATCAATAATACTCACGAGATATCCTCTAAGTGGACCACATCGTCTGTGATACAATACTTGGTCTTCGAGGCCGTCAACTAGTCGGACTTCGCTTAACTAATACTACTATTGTTTACTGTTTACTCTAGTCAGATTTTATCTGTTAATAGTCATAGATTTTATGCTGGCTCGAGCGTCGATATTGTCTTACTCAAAGTTTTATTCTTTCATGCACGATTTTTTATACTAAATGCATTAGTTTCATGATATATCCGATATTATTTATATCTGTCAAGGTTTTATTCTTTCTTGTTCGGTTATTTTATATTAAATGCATTGTTTACATGATATATCTGGTATTATTTATATTTGTCATGGGACCAAAAGATGCCATCTATATATAGTTTTAGTAATAATCGGCATATTTTATATTAAATGAATTAGTTTTATGATAATTCTGTAATTAATTATAGCTGTCATGGTTACTCTGGAACCAATAAATGCCAACAACGATTGATACTAATTTACTAATTTAATCGTAGATAGGTAGATAGGTGGATGGATGGATGGATGGATGGATGGATGGATAGATAAACTGAAAACTATGTATGTTAATAATTCTTAATTACTTTAAGTTCATAAGGAATATTGGGTTTATTTTCAGATATTTTCCTTCTATAAACCCCCAGATGGGTAAGCCCAGTAAGAGGCACCGTGCGAAGGGCAGAGCCCATAGGCAACATTTGGCAAGAGAGGTATTGAGGTCGTCCTCTATCTCATGTGCATATTGGAATTGCAATGGCCTAATACGGGACAACAAACAAGACATGATAGTGGATGTCATGAGTGACTATAACTTACATGTACTTGCCGTAATTGAAACTCACCTAAGACAGGGGTCCAATGACGACCTATCTTGTCTAGACAAGTTCACATGGTACTCCAAAGAGAGGCTTTGGAATGAAAAGAAAGGTGGCGGGATATTGACCATAGTTCGGCCAGGTCTTAACCATTCACGGTACGAGCCGCCGCTACCAATGTACCCCTACTTGGATAATGAAAGAGAGTGGATACTAATCCATGAAAACGACAGTAAAGTAGCCCTATGTTTTGTGTATCTTGCAGCTGAGGTTGGAGGGGATATTTTTCAAGTTTGGAATGCGGAGCTGTGTGCAATGCTACAATCTGAAATCTCTACCCTCAGAGAAGACGGGTATACGTGTTCTCTCGCAGGGGATTTCAATGGACATATCGGGGCAGACAGCCAAGGTATTCCAGGAAACAATAGGGACATTAACTCAAATGGGAGACTGGTAAGGGATTTTGTTTCGATTAATAACCTCCGTATCGTCAACAGCGACACTAAACGTTGTAAAGGTTTATTTACACGAATAGCTAACAACTCTGTGGCTGCATTGGACCTGGTCCTTGAGGATAACAGGGAAGGCCCACTGGTTACGGAAATGTCAATAGACACTTTCGGGGAAATACTGGGGGGCAGCGATCATTCTGCAATTTTCTATAAAGTACAAATAAGGCCAGAGCCATCCACTAAGGAACCACAGGAAGAGGATCCAATTGTTGGCCCATGTCAGGCAACGGGAGAGGCATATAGAGAAGCCTTTGAATCCATGGTGTCCATGACAGATTGGAACCAAATGGACACTGGAGAGAAATGTCGGTTCCTCCAGGACACCCTAGTAGCAGCAGCAAAAAGTTCTTGCACCCAAAAACCGGGACAAAAGACCCGCGTTTCAGTGTGCAAGTCGGTGAGACGGCTGCGTAGACAGTGCATTGCTGCAGAGGCACAGGTTAGACGGTTAGAGCATGAAAAAGCTGTGCTAGGCTTTGGGAGTGGTGAGGCTGAGACAGGAAAAGAGAAACTTTTACAAGTCCTCACGCAGGAGGCGGTAACCCTCAGGCTACAAATCAAGTGCAAAGTCCTGTAAAAATTCAATTTAAAATAAAAAATACTTGTTATTTGAATTTTAAAGCATATTAAAATTGGTAAAAAAAAATTACGCGGTAACGGTCTGAGTATGGAGCACACAGATTAAGAAAACTAATCAAATGAAGAAATGCTGAAAATGTAAATAATTTTTTTTAATACTTACAAGGAAACTTTTTCACAGTTGAAATCTTCAGTAAAAGTTTTTCCGGATCCAAGGTCTGTGAGGGTCTTCCAGTGTGCTCTGACATCACACACTTCCTCCATTGTTACAGGTTTGCCAACAATTTCTCCCACCGAATGCAAGATTTTGCTTATCATCCTAAAAAGAGGTTTGTCAGAGGTCAGATTAATGTTTTGAGTTAAAATTTTGCAACCTACAAATCCCTTTATTAAAGGGACTGTAAATGAAAAATGAAAGAAAATTATATAAAACTGTATACGGACTAGACGGATGTAATTATATTATCAATTATATCTAAAATGACCCCTATTCCTAATTATAACTAACCTTGAGTAGTATTCTTCATTTCCACAAAGGGGATAAAATTACCAGGCAGTTGAACAAGGTTCTCCCCATCCTCTACAACAAAGTAACCCAACTATGAGAAGTCAGCCTGCACACTTGACTCCTCAACCTGCAAAACATACAAATCAATACTTTTTCTTAAAAAGAGACTTGCACATGTAGTTAAATTGTGATCCAGATCCAGATCTGGTGGATCCGCAGATTTTCCCCATCTCAAACACCCACCTTTCTTTCAGTGAAAACTTTCAGAATAAGAGTCCTCACCCTGGCCTATTTTACTAAAATATTGCATAAAAACTCCACTGTATGCATATATTAACCAACCAAACAATACATCAATTGATCAATCAATCAATCAATAGTTAAATCAATCAATCAAAAATTCAATCAATCACTTAATCGATCCAACAATTATTCAGAAATAAACCGACCAACCATCCAATTAACAAATCAACATCCAACCATCCTGAAATCGCTGAAATAATCAATCAATAGGTCGATCAATCAATCAATCCATCAATCAATCAATAGCTCAATCGATCATTGATTAAACAATCATTCAGAAATAAACCGACCAACCATCCTATTAACAAAAGAGCATCCAATAATTGAACCAAACTAACCAAAACCGCCTTCCAACAATAAAAAATCAACACTTACATCATCTCCACCAACCTTCATAGGTTGAGGCTCTGTCAAACGACTACAGCCAGGAATCAACTGCTTAACCCCCTAATATTATTATATATTAAACAATAATAAAATATAATGAAAATTTTCTGCTAAAACATGAATTTTTCTCTTATATGTCTACTTTCAATGTGATTTTGAAAGGAACTAAACTGTCTTTATTCTCTTAAGACATTTTATTTGAAACTCTATCGATGCCAACAAATAAATAAATCAATCAACCAACTGAAACCAACCAACCAACAATAAAAGCATTAACCAACCAAATACCCCAGCAAACCAACCAATATCCTATCAATTAAAAAAAAAACAATTCAACCATTGCAGCTAACTACCCAAAAAATATTATTCTGAAAACAAAAATATTTCGTTAATAAATCACATATTTACAATTTTTTAGACTAAATTCAAAACTTACTTAACTTTACCCGGCCTGTTAAAAACGCACCCCCCCCCCCTCCTTCAGTTAAAACTTTCAGGATGCCAATTGTCACCAAGGCCTTTTTCCCTAAAATATCTCGTAAAAACCCCAGTGTACGCATATATTAACCAAGCAATCAATTAATTATTTAATAGCTCAATCGATCAAGCAGTCAATAGCTCAATCGATCACATATAAAAACCCCATCCTACTCATAAATAAACCTATCAATAAATTAATCATCCTTTAGATCAAATGATCAATGAACCTCTTTAAAATAACATCTCCATCATTTAAAATGAATATTGACCGAGAAAGGGTTAACCAAAATTAGTGATTGCCTCTCACTGCGAACTCAGACTGATAAAACAAAGAATTAAGCCTTACCTCACAACTTTCCAAATATTTATTCATAATAAAATCTGCTCCAGAGGAGGGTGAGGAGGAAGGTAAAGTCTGATAACCTACAATATTAAGGCAGAAATTTATGTAATAAAATTAAGTTTTCTCCGAATAAATGTATAGCTCAAGACCTTTTATTTAAAGAACATAAAACTCAAGTTCTTGCTGTTTTTTGGACAGACATAGCAAGCCACCAAACAAGCAAAGTACATAAAAAAGAGAGATCAGGAACGACTTTTGATGGCTTTAATCTCAAGTCTTATGATTAATTGCTTTATTCTCAAGTCCTTTCTTTAATGGCTTTAATCTCATGTCCTATGATTAATGGCTTCAATCTCAAGTCATTTAGTTTACTGGCTTTATTTTCAAGTCCTTTTTTTAATTGCTTTATTCTCAAGTCCTTTCTTTAATGGCTTTAATCTCAAGTCCTATGATTAATGGCTTTAATCTCAAGTCCTATGATTAATTGCTTTATTCTCAAGTCCTTTCTTTAATGGCTTTAATCTCATGTCCTATGATTAATGGCTTCATTATCAAGTCATTTAGTTTACTGTATCAACTAATCATTTTAATGTTTTAAAGGGAGTGTTTTTTGAAAAATAAAAGGGGGTATAGGCTAACGGCGAAAAATAAGCACTTTTAATCGCTACAAATCTTATTTCTATCTGTCTATAAGGAGAAAATTGATAAAAAAAACTTATACTGAAGAACGTAACATCCATACAAATTGAAAGTTATATACCCTGTTGAAAGTTTATCTATAAAAAATTACCTTTCTGTTTCTGTAGGGACAATTCAAGTAGAAGTTCTGATCTGGTTTTATATCTTTTTCTGACTAAACCTCTTGACCTGAAACAATATAAGAGTTACAAGTTGAAGCATAATTAACTATCGATATTCTACTCCCTTTCAAGATACACTATGATAAAAATAGAAGAAATTTGAATTTTTATGACAATAATTAAAATTGGTAGAAAGAAAAAAAAAACCAAATTCCCCATTTTATCGGCTGATAAACTTGTACTATTAAAAACAATAAGTTAAATCTCCCAAGTCGAGAAATGAAATCTTACAATGCATTTCTACTTATAAATGTATAAAAATGAAAATATGAGTGAAAATAAAGGTGTCCAAAATCGTTTGACCAGAGCTGGGAACTTTTGAATGGTGGATATCAGGATTAAGGCATGATCCACTCTTTTCTTAATCTCGTGATTTAATAATGCTTGTTCTCCTCTTGTTATTAATCTCCATATTAATAAACCAATCGGGATTAAGGATATCTCATCCTAAAGTTTTCATCTTAGAAAACATAACATTTGTGTATGAATTCTACAAACTATTTGGGGGGGGGGGGGCAAGTAATCAGATAATTTTTAGAGACATAAATTTTTACGAATATGATGATTTTGACCATCCTAATTTGATTTTTACAATTATTAGGTATTGGTAGAGTTTCTATTTTTGAGCCGGCATTTCGGGGTTTATAAGTTGTGAATTTAGCCAATTTGAGAATGATGTCAAACTTAAAAAAGGTAAAACTTAAATCTCTTATGCCTCTTTTATGACTAACCTACGCGATATAAAATAAATAGCAACATATTTGGCAAACCTCTGCCTATCTTTTTCCCCATGGAACCACCCCAAAATATTCGATGGTTTTTACGTTTTTCGCTTCGTTTTTGAGATGGTGAGGTACTTCGCGAAAAATGAAGAATTCGGTGTACAAGCATGTCTCGTGCGACCCGGGATCTCGCGTGTCCGAGCTTGCTAAGAACGAAAAACTAAGAACGACTGACAACTCTTTACGTACATCCAGAGAGAGAGGTGCTCCTAAAACCGACGAGACTGCGTGCTGGACAGGCTGCACATCAAACAAATAAACGCGTAGTCCAGTCTGGAGTTAGAAGCACCCCTCCCTGCGAAGTACTTACCCTTCACCTCTTGAGAACGACAATTAATCCACTTACTAACTTCTTATCACAAACTAATCTTAAACAGGCGAGAAATAAAATTTAAGCCCCTAGACATGTGACTTCTGGCGGGCCGAGAGAAAAACTGAACTCAGAACAAACGCCGAACGCGGCAAAACAGCCAGACTGATTTTTGTCGTCTTCTCTTGAAGCTCAGACCCGCTTTTTCCCTTGTCGTATTTCGCCATGCCTTTCCACCGAAATCGTCATATTAATTATGAAAAAAGATTGAAGTACTCTACACTCCGAATTATTTGCGGCATTCTACAGATAGTGGTCGTGTAGTTCACGTACTTTAGGGGACGATAGTTTGGGCGCCAGATGTCTCTCGTATGAATTATCTATCTATAGAGAGAACAGGCTCAGGATTATCTGTAAATGCGCTGGTGTACTTTTCGACCTACGCAAATCTGCTTACTCCGCTTCTGACCTACGCCAAATCCTCTATACTACATTTCCGACCTACTAGCAAGTGGTTTTACAGCTGCTATATGGGATTGTGGTAACAGCGCCCGGCCCCCTAGCCTATCTTAGCCATAGCGCTTGGCCCAAAAATTGTCTTAACCTAATTTAACCCTCAAATAATACAAAAATAAGCAGCTGGTGTAGGTCCGATATACCAATAGGTCGGAAAGTTAGTAGATTGGAAGTTCAGTAGGGGGGATGTTGCACGTATAGACTATGTAACATTACCGTAAACGCGCGTAACAAAGGTGAAAATTCCTATCCTATCAATTTTGTACACGATGAAATTATCAAGTAATTTAAGATATTTTGTATTATTTTAGGGTTTGGTGAGGTTAAGCACATTTATGGGCCGAGTTCTGCAGCCATGGGACAGGCTAGGGGCCGAGTGCTGCTGCAATCTTCATGACCAATAATTTCCAATTATTGATACAATTTTGATACAAGAGAGATCCATGTTGAAATTGATATGAAGGAAATAAAACCGCGCTTTTTTCATATCAGCTCAAAAAAGAGAAGAAAGGTGCCCTAGTATACAATTTTAAAATCCCTTTATCGTACTCTATATTAAATAATATCAATATTCTAGCTAAGGGAATCCAGCTTTGCCTTAAAACTAATCTGTCACTATACAAGTTAACCCACTTAACCTTAAATTTTAAATCAGGCTAAAAATGTTCCCGTGGTTCTACCAAGTTCCCCAAGAGCTAAATCCACGAAATACGATTTCATATTTACGAAGAAGAATGACATCTTGAAGAGCAGCGATCAGCAGCTAAAATTCTTATTAGAATAGGGGCGCGAAGCACCCAAAAAGCCTAGTTGTATATATATAGATTTATGTATGGCATTTAGTCTTATACTCAGATCTATTTCTATTTATCTCACATATATATATATATAATATATATATAAATGTATATGTTGCTGAGTTGTAAATGTATTGTAGAAAGTAAAGAATATTATTTTCTATTATACATATAGTACTGTATTGTAGTCTGGAGATGTAGCATGTATTGTTTGAGAGAATAAGATGTAATATTCTAGTGTATATTATTATATTCGTTATTAGCAATAAGAGTTTTCAATAGTTCTTGTTCTTATAGTATATGATGTTAAATATGCAGAATAATAATAAGAATATTAAGTTTATACAAGAATTAGATTAGATTGTTGTGACGGACGATTTGAAACTATAATTGGCAAAAGATATAAGTATAGAGCTAAGTTTAAGTTCCCCTGATTTACATTTTAAGCACGGGCAGCCGTATTACATTCGAGTTTCCAAGCCAGCCGGGTCAACCTTTCCAATCCAAGTTTGTACTGTATCGCCAAGACATTAGGTAAATCAAGCAGACACTCAATAGAACTATAAGCCGGTGTAACAAGGTTGACGCGGTCAGACTTTAGGTTGAATTGACTTTTACTAAAGGGTTAGAGATGCGTGTAAGATCAATTTAACAAGTTTTCAAAAGGAAGAACTTGTAACGTATATGTCCTGGAATCATACCGTATTATTGTCATGTCATGTGTGTGTGTCTGTACCAAAAGAGTGTGTGTAAGGAATACCGAACCGAAGGTGTGTACTGTAGGTATATACAGTACATAAGAATATCGGTATTTGTACAGTCTAGGAGAGTACATTTGTTTATTGTTAATTGTTTACTTAAACATATGTTTAATATACATGTAGTATATTATTTATATATTTAAAGGGACAGTAAAGGAAAAATGAAAGGGGGTATAGGCTGAAAGCTAATCACTTTAGCTCTTGATCGCGACCCATGAAAGTTATATCTGATGTTCCTGTCTCGAGAAACTGATATAAAACTGTGTCAAATTTATACGAAAATTCATATATATACAATTTTGAAAATCTGAAATTTAAATCACGTGACCAGAACTATCACCCATGGCAGAGCAGTATACTGGTCACGTGTCTCCGCCTGTGTCAAGTGACCACTTTACTGCACTGCCATTGGTGGAATTTCTGGTAAAGTAATGCGGACGTAAAAATAATATTATGAGTAAAATCTATTGAAAATAGAAATAACAAATATAAAAGTAAACCTAATTTACAATTAGCTTTCTCTGGGATATCATCGTTTTCAGATTGGTTGCTTATTTGCTGAATATGATCTGTTTAAACCTACTACTTTTATACAAAATTGTAAATATATTAATTTTCGTATATATTTGACACAGTTTTATATAAATTTCTCGAGACATGAACATCAGATATGACTTTCATGGGTCGCGATCAAGAGCTAGTGATTAGCTTTCAGCCTATACCCCCTTTCATTTTTCCTTTACTGTCCCTTTAAGTCAAAACTATATGCCAAATTTTCATGCAAAGAATATATTTTGATTAAAGTTTACAATAAACTAGTCGTTATTCAAGCTTAATTATAATTGACAACATTGTCCTGCAATTTTCTTGACTGTAGTCATGTTGTGTGTCTGTCTGTACCAAAAGAGTGTGTGTAAGGAATAGCGAACTCGTCTGTAAAGCAGGTGCGACTGGCTTTCTCATGCCAGACTAGCGCCATTTCCTTTCCATTTATTCCTATTCCCTGGATGTAATGCGTAAAAGTTGTAAACATTTACATGAAAAATGTACACTTTAAACGTCTTTCCAGGTTCCAAGGGACTGAAAAAAATCATAAAATTCATACCGAGGAAAACTCTTATCTTTCCTTTGTATAAATATTCTATACTCTTTGGATATGAGCCAATCAATGTTCAATATGAACGTTTTGAAAAAATTGTTAAGATTTGTCTATTCTGCCAGCATACATATAGTCAACGTTTAGCAAAATAAAAACAATAAGTTTGGGGAAAAATATATTAATTAAAACAATCAATTTTAAGACAATGTTCTTGCTTTGTTATTTTACCAATAGTTTGCAGCTATATATAAAAAAACGTGAAGAACATGGTGAGAAAATATACCAGACACTAAGTTTTGATTATAGGAGCGACAAGGGATAATCCGGTAAACAATTGTTCAAAAACAAATAAAAAAATTCAAAAAAAACATTTGTGTGCTTCACAAATATGCATATTGCGTAAGTACAATTTTATACTCAAAATGTTTTCAAATATTGTGATTGTGGATTCCAGCTAAATATTTATATACAAAAGTGTTTTAATATTTAATATTTTGTAGGAATTAGTATCAAAATAAATATGATAATAAATCTATGAGACAATTTTCGACGAAAACAAATTAATAATCTTCTGAAAACTTCCGATTTCCTGGAATAAATATATGAATTTATTCGCTGCAATATAAATAGATATTTCTAGATATTTTGTTATAAAAATAGTTTAAATATCATTCAGAAAAGATGGAACATATACAGAGCAATATTCTCCTAAACTAGAAATATTCTTCTAAACTAATCATTTTCATAGAAATATTCTTCTAAACTAATCATATACAGAGAAATATTCTTCTAAACTAATCATTTTCATAGAAATATTCTTCTAAACTAATCATATTCATAGAAATATTCTCCTAAACTAATCATATTCATAGAAATATTCTTCTAAACTAATCATATTCATAGAAATATTCTCCTAAACTAATCATAGTCATAGAAATATTCTTCTAAACTAATCATATTCATTGAAATATTCTTTTAAACTAATCATATTCATAGAAATATTCTCCTAAACTAATCATATTCATAGAAATATTCTCCTAAGCTAATCATATTCATTGAAATATTCTTCTATACTAATCAAATACAGAGAAATATTCTTCTAAACTAATCATATACAGAGAAATATTCTCCTAAAATTATCATATACAGAACAATATTCTCCTAAACTTATCATATTCATAGAAATATTCTCCTAAACTAATCATATACAGAGAAATATTCTTCTAAGCTAATCATATTCAAAGAAATATTCTTCTATATTATATTCTATATTATATATTCTCCTATAAATGTACGCTGCCTGCGTAAGCCTACATTATAGATGAAAGTGGAGAAGTTAATTTCTCCCTCTGCGATGAATCTGTCAAGGGTTTGATCATGGTTTAGCTCCGGGAGGGGGTTCTAACTGTCCGGGTTCTTGTCTCAAGGGGTTGATCCAGCACACTCCAACATAATTCAATACTCTTCTACTCATCAAACTTCATTCAGGGAATAAAGCTTGGTCAGAGAGATGGACGCATAGACGAAGATCTAAAGGGTTTAATGGATAGACAGATAGATAGAAAGATGAAAAGATAACTAGACATGTATAGATAGATAAATAGATACAAAGCTAGATAGCTAGATAGTTAGATAAACAGATGGATAGATAGATAGAAATATAGATAGAAGATAGACTGACAGATAGATAGATAGATAGATAGATAGACAGACACACAGACAGAGAAAAATATATAGATAAATAAATAGATAAATAGATAGATACATTGATAGATAGATAGATAGATAGATAGATAGATAGATAGATAGATTGATAGATTGATAGATTGATAGATTGATTGATAGATAGATAGATCTATAAGATAAGATAAGATTACAAGGGAAAGGTAGAAAAGAGAAGGTAATGTTGGAACTCTGTATGTTTACAAACCAATATAATGCAATCAGGCCCCATATACAGAGAATACTCAAGTATCCTTCAACCTTCAACCTTCAACCTACTCCGGGTATACTAAACACTACACACAGATATCCAACTAAAGACAACTCACGGAGAAAGTTTAAAAAAACTGAACGAAACATTTTCTTACCCGAGGATTAAAATATTGTAAGAATATTGACACTAAAACTTTTCTTTAGCTTATGTTTGCCCTCAGTCCACTTTCTCTAGTTAACCCTTTAATCATTCTCATGTTACGACAATCGCATGATATGTAGAATGAATCCAATCCTTAATCCCTGCCAATAGTTTCATTATAGTGGATAAATCCAAACCTTAATCCAGACTACATTATCAGATAATACAAATCCTAATCTTAATATACTATTTTCTTTTACACATATGAAAATTAAAGGGGCCTGAAGAGAAAAGCTCGACCAGACAAGGCATTT